CAAGTTTGGAAGCGGGTCAAAGGAATCAACAAGCCTCACTTCAAAATCTTCAAGCCCAACTAAGCTCATTGGTGCAAAATCTTTCGTCAAGACCACAAGGAACTTTACCGGGCAATATGGAGCCTAACTGTAAGGAGCGATGTCATGTTGTAACTCTAAGGAGTGAACGACCTTTGAAGGAGATTCCTATCTCAACACCGAGGATACTAGTAAGAGAAGTTCAACGTGAAGTTGTTCAAGAAGAAGAGTTAGTTCGGGAAGAAGTGCAACCCACTATCGAAATCAAGATTGAAGATGAGGAGAAGTCTAAGAAGATTTAAGCACCCGATCCAACACCAAAAGCTCATTATCCTAGACGGTTATTCTAAAGTGATCTATATCATGAATGTGCTCCGTGGAAGGACACTTTGAAGAAATTGAAGGTAACGGTCCCTTTCTTAGACATGGTTATGAAGATTCCAAAATATACTAAGTTCTTGAAAGAAATATTGCAAGGAAAGAGGAAAATGGAAAACCTTGCTATGGTATCCATTAGTGAAGTTACCTCGGCATCCATCGGATGTGAAGGCTTCCCTCCAAATTTAGAGATTTGAGAATCTTCACTATTCCACGCACCTTCGGAGTCAAAACCTTTTGGAATCCGCTAGCTGATTTGGGGTCTAGTATCAATATTATGCCTACAAGAATATAAAGTGAGTTAGACCTTGGACCACCCATACTTATTAAAATGCATATTGAATTGGCTAGTAGGTCAGTTGTCGAGCAAAGAGGAATCATAGAAAATGTCTTGGTGAAATATGCTCATTTTTTATATCCAGTGGACTTCGTGGTTCTCGATATAGAAGGGTGTGATGCATCGATAATCCTAGGCCGATCATTCTTAGCTACGGCAAGGACCATTATCGATTTGAGTGGGAGCAAGATCACCTTAAGGTTTGGAGAGGAGGAGATAAGCTACAAGATGACTACAATCCCCAATTTTCACAATTATTACAAATGGGACGATGTCAAGATGGATTGTGAACTGGTGACACCTCCTACCACACCGCCTTCAAGCCCCAAGATAGTATGGTTCAATATGGTTTCTCATGTTGACCCTCATGATAGAAGAGTTGGAGGTGTGAGTGATTCTTGCGAGATTAAGAAGAGGTCGGGTAAAGAAAAGTTTCCTTACAAAAGGCTACTCAAGAGTTGTTCAAAGTTTCTCATCAAGCCAATGATCATTGAAGGAAACTTAGAACATTCGTCTTTGAAGAAAGATACCCCAAGGAAAGCGTTCAAAATGTTAAGAGCAAACTAGCTCCTATATTCGAAGATGAAGAATCCGGGGAATGCTATAAGCCATTCACAATTGAGGACATTTATACAAGGGAGTTTAGTTCTTTCAATCATGAGCACCAATCTTCGGATATGTCGTTTGAATCTCAAGCACCGGATGAGGCATCCAAGAGACTCCATTGTCTTCACTTGGGACTCCACCACAAGTATGATTTCTACGAAGAATCATCAATGGGAGCTCTTACCTCTTGGCCTCAAGGAGTCAAGTCCGCTATTGGAGTTAGATTTGATCCTTTTGTATTGAATACAGTCCCCCTCAAGGGGGAAGCTACCGCTTCTAGAATGCAAGCTTATCCTTGACTTTTTTTAGAGCTTCCCGCTATTAAAGAGTACCAGCGCTAGCGCCCTTCTCTATCTCCATCAATGGCAGATAAAAGTGGTACACTCAAGTCGGAGCCCACTTATCTATAGAATTTATCTTTCAAGGGTCAGTCTAATTTTGGGGAGGTTTGAATTTTGGAGATTGAAAGGTCAAGGTCTTATGCATATAGAGAAGGCGGGACAGGTGAAGCGGCCTACCCATTGCTGCTTTGTTCTGATTGTGGGTCGGGCCAAGACCCACACCGTTCTAGGGCGGGCCGAGTTCTACCTGTCCCAACACTGGCTGGGTCAATAGAATCCCGTCGGGCGAGTCCAGTCTACCATCACTACTTCCAACTAACGGCGAACCTTAATCTAGTTTAATACTAACTTACTAAGTGGTTTTAAGTTGGATGCGACTCCCAAGACTGATGAGTAAGCATTTGAAATTAATTATTTAAGTAATTAAGTAATCTCCAGAAGGTGAATTTTATCGATGAGGTTAACATTTTTTAAGGGTTAATGATTATTTATTGCTTCAATACAAAAGAAAGCACCGATCGTGTGGAGTTGGATATGGCTAAGGCCTACGATCGTGTGGAGTGGGAATTTCTGGAAGGAGTTATGAAGAAGCTGGGTTTTGATGATAAATGGATTGAGCTCACCATGAAGTGCGTCTCAACTGTTACCTACTCTATTCTGGTGAATGGACATAAGGCAGAGCCCTTCTCCCCATCCCGTGGCTTGAGACAAGGGGATCCTTTGTCTCCCTATCTCTTTTTGCTATGTGCTGAAGGACTATCTACTCTGATCAAGAAAGCTGAATCTGAAGGTAAACTTAAGGGTGTACAAATCAGGAAAAAGGCCCCTATCATCTCACACCTTCTATTCGCGGACGATTGCGTGATCTTTGGAAAGGCAAATCTTAAGGAGTGTGATCAAATCAGGGAAATTCTGAATACTTACTCTATGGAATCAGGGCAGCTCATAAACTTCACAAAATCTGAACTTTCCTTCAGTAAAAACGTTCGAATCAGTAGAAGACTGGAGATTTGTGGCACTTTGGGTATCAAGGAGGTTGAGAAGCATCATAAATACCTCGGCCTTCCTACTGTGGTGGGAAGATCAAAGAAAATCATATTCGAGGAAATCAAAGAAAGGGTAAGGAAAAAATTAAAAGATTGGAAGAGCAGGACCCTATCTCAGGCAGGAAAGGAGGTGTTGATTAAGGCTATTGCCCAAGCTCAATGCCTTTACCCTATGTCAGTGTTTAAAATTCCAGAGGGTACTATCAAGGAGATCCAAAATCTTATCGCAAGTTTCTGGTGGGGGCAGAAGGGAAAAGAATCAAAAATTCAGTGGATCGATTGGGATGAAATGTGTGACAGAAAACAGGATGGTGGGATGGGTTTCAGAGACCTAAGGTCTTTCAATTACGCGATGCTTGGAAAACAGGTCTGGAACGTTCTCACAAGACCAAACTCTCTTATGGCCAAAGTTCTTAAGGCACGTTATTTTCCAAAAACGGACATTCTACAAGCAAAGACAGGTTATCAGCCTAGCTTTATTTGGAAGAGTATTATGGAAGCTAAAGAGAAAATCGTTGAAGGCTTCAGGTGGAGAGTTGGAGATGGAAGCATGATCAGTATATGGACGGACGAATGGATCCCAGGTAAAGGTTTTTTCCATGCTGACCCCGCCCCCTCAGGAGATATGCCAGAAGGAAAAGTCAGTTCCCTCATTGACCCTGCTACGGGTACTTGGAAAGAAGAAAATTTGAGGAAGCTGTTTTCTCGGGAGGATCAGAATCTTATTGCTAAGATCCCTCTCCGTTTCCCTCTTGGAGTGGACTCGAGAGTTTGGAAAGACTCTGAAAATGGAGCCTATACAGTAAAATCAGCATATCACTACATTCAGAAACAGCAAGCTCACTACCAGATGCGGAATCACAATATTAACACTGAAGAGATGGAGTTGTGGAAGGCCCTATGGATGCTTCATATCCAACCTAAGGTTCGCATTTTCCTCTGGAAGGCTTGTAAAAACATCTTACCGGTGGGTTCTCATATTGAGGAATGGATTGAAAGTGCTGAGCCAAACTGCCCGTTCTGCAACCTCCCGGAAACTCAGATGCATGCTCTTCTTGAATGTGACTGGATCAGAAGACGCTGGCGTGGCTGCGAAGTGGAGGATATGTTTGAGAAGGGAGAAGGTAAATCTTGCTTCGAATGGATTAAGGAGATTCTCACAACTTTTCCAGAAGAAAAAATCCAAAGTTTCAGCTCAATCCTGTGGTACCTTTGGAAGGAGAGATGCAATCATAAGTATAATAATCGGAAGCTGGATGAGGATGAGATAGTTCCGCGAGCTTTGGCCTGGCTTTCTTCTTTCCGGACGGCGACTGCTACCCCAGATCCGAGCTCCTTTGCCTCCCCCCCTCGGCATCATACTTCCCCTCTTCGACGCTGGGTTCCTCCTCCCGAGGGTTTCATCAAACTGAACTCTGATGCTGGCGTTATTCAGAATCGGGGAGTTGGCTTGGGTTGCATTTTCCGGGAAGGGCGTGGCGATTTTGTGGGTGCTTTGGCCAAAAGGGAACAGGGAGCTCTCCGGCCGACTGAAGCGGAAGCGAAGGCCTTGATATTGGGATTGAGAGAAGCAAATCGAAGATCTCTGGGTCCTCTCATGGTGGAATCCGATTGTCAGGTTCTAATCAATCTCTTGAAGAATGGATCAGTGGATTTCACGGAGTTGGGTGTTTGGAGTGATGAACTGAGAACGCTCGCAAAGGTGAACGAAGCTTTGGTCGGGGAAAGGGTGAGGTGGAGATTTGTTCCGAGAGAGTGCAACTCAGTGGCCCACTGGTTGGCTCATTCGGTTTTGGGGTGGAATCAACAGATTGTTTGGGTGGACTCTCCCCCTGTTTTGCTCTGTTCTTTGTTAGAGGCCGATTTGGGCCATGGCTCCTTGGGCCAAACTGTTACCCATTAATATAATTTCTCAGGTTTCCTATAAAAAAAAAGATATAATCATAATAATAAAAATACAAAAGAAATGTCATTATCATTTAACATTTTACGATAGAATCATAATAATAAAAATATAGTAATTCACTAATTTGTCCTTATCGTCTCCAATGGAGGAGAGGAGAGATGGTGGTGGGCCCGAGAGAGAGGACAGATAGGCTCAGAATTTTGATGAGTCACTGAGCCGACGCCAACGACGAGCCAGGTCATAGAGAACCTAATCCACTGAGTCACCGACAGCTGGAATCTACTTTCCTCGCACGTGTCGGCCCCCAAATCGGAAAAAGAGAAAACCCTAATCTCGCCCACCAGTCATCACTTCTTTACCCCGCGATTGGACACCGCCCCACCACATCATCGCCTTCATCATCATCCTCAATCCCCCTCTCCCCGTTTGTTTTTTTCTGTTAATTTCCCCCATTTTCGCCGCGAAACCCAACAGTCCGCCAGCTCTTCTTCTTCTTCAGTGGGTTCGGTTCTTGGCGGCGAGTAGGAGAAGAAAGGCCGGAGATTGGACTCCGATTCGCAATTGGGTAGCTGGGTGTTTGGTGGCTTCGTGTTTGTTTGGGTGCATATTCTTGCGGGCTCTTTTTTTTTTTTTTTTCCGGGTGTGTGGTGTGGGTTTAGCCTTTTGATTCTGAGCCGTTGATCCTTTGGGAGGGGAAGTATCAAAAGAGAAGAGGGCTTTTGTTTTGTTTTTACTCTTTGGTGGGTGTCTTAAAGTATCCAACTTGGACTTCCACCTCACTCTCTCTTTCTCTGGCACGCCATGAAAGCAGGTCGGATCCCCTCTCTCTCTCTCCCTCTCTGCCTGCTGATTATTATTTGCTCTTGCTTCTCACCGTGTTTTGCATGTTTGTCTTCTTGGCTTATGCTTGCTCGTTTCCGATTGATTTGGTTTACTCGTTTGGGATCTACGATTATTAGACATTTAGACTTAATGTCATGGGCGATTGGGGAAGTCTGACTTGTTGTTGTCCTCTCCTTTCATTTCAAATTTTTTTGGTCTTTTGGACTTTCCTCTTTTGGGTTTGAGTTGGATTGGGCAGCTACAGTCTAGCTATGACCAATCAAGCAAAGTTCAGGTGCCTAGATATATGAATTTTGTTCATGGACCGAGTTTGTTCATTCCGCTAGTTAACTTTAGGAATCTGGGAATTAAAGTGTAGCTCTGTTTTTAGTTTTTACCAGTCGGTCTCTTAAGTTCTTATGGAAGGGCCTAGGAATCGTCCATGTCATGGATTTGGACTGTGGTCTCTTAAGTTCTTATGGAAGGGCATATAGGGAGTGGCTGTTAGAGTAGATTGCTATTTTCTGGCTGCAATTAATGGATGTTACCTATATATAGGGCGGTAAAATCCCAGATATCGGCCGGGTTCTTGTTCTTGTTTGATTCACAAGACAATCAACGTCTTATTTGTTCACGGCTCTTATGTGGACACTTGTCTTCTATTTGTGTGGGAATGTGACGAAATGTGCTTCGATTAGTTTCAAACGATTCGGGAAAAACAGTTTTAGCTTATGTTTAGATTCTCGGCCGGAAGAATGCCAGGTAGCATTGTGAGTTATGATGATTGATTACCTTGGATATGCCCAACGATCAAAAAGGAAGGGAAAATTGTCTACTTTCGTACGGTCTAAGGATATGGAATGGAAGGAAGGAATAGTGAATGATTTTGGTTGTTGGTGGAACTTAGAATGGAAGCTGTCAAATTGGAGATAGTGCAAATCTTTCCCATCTTCTCTGGAGGCCCTTCAACTAATAATCAGTCTGCTTAGCTGTCAGTCAGCCTTCTGCTTTGGTGTGGGAGCATGCCCTTAAATCCCTCTCGCATCTGAATAAGAATCAGAGGATATTATGCTGAATTGTATGGTACATGACTTGATTTTTTCAAAGCCATATGTTTAGTTGTTAGAGATGTTGGGCTAAGTCTCGGTGAATGTTGTTTATTTGCTGGAAACCTACTATGTTCAAGTGAATGGTGTTCATTGTTTGAACCTACCGAGCTAGTTGAGTGAAAGATTTGATTCCCTCTTTTTAGGTCTTATGTTAAATCTTCACATGGATCTATTGTGCGACCACTACCTTTACTAGATATCCTTCTTTTTTCTTATGGAAGGTTCCTACAAATTAAGTTTAACTGATGACAATCTTGAATCATTACTTTTCCGATCTGGGATTTTGCTGAATCCACAGGCTGCTTTTTATGAGTCAATTAAAGTCTGGTAAAAATAACATAAGTGATTGTGATAAGGCACGATGGTTTAAGGGTGCTTCATGGAGATCCATGCTGGTTTTGTGTTGGCTGTGATTTTGACAAGATGAGACACATGAGTTTTGCCTACTTTTTCGTGAGCTGTTGAATGTTGCAACTTTCAACACTGATTAGCAGTAGATAACATCTGTTACATGGAAACTGAAATAACATATCCATAAAAATAATTGGGAGTTTTTCACTGAAAGGATGTGATATCTGATTTGCATGGTGACATGGAATGCTATTTACAGGCGATTTCTAGATATTATTACAATAATCAAGGTCAAGGTCATCCATAAGGATTGAAGCTTGTGTACCACTTCACTTAATCAAATGGGAACAGGTGAAGAGAGCGGACCTGCTAAACCATCTAAACCGGCAGCTACTTCTACTCAGGTAATTTCATATTGTTGTCCATCCATATTTATCTACTTTGATACTTATTGCTCCCAAAATTCACTATCTGCATTTCCTTTGCAGGAAGTTCAATCAACACCTGCATATCCAGAGTGGCCAGGTTCTATGCAGGTTAGTCTTTAGCATCTTAGGTCTCGTGTCCCCCCACCATTTCTTTTGTCAATTGTTTTTCTGGTCATATTCAGGTTTGTTATGGTGCTGGGCAGTTAGTTTTAAATGCTGACAGTTATTACTATGTTCAGGTTTATTATGGTGCTGGAGCCACTCCACCTTTTTTCTCATCAACTGTTGCTTCTCCCCACCCCTATGTATACCAGGTGAGTTCGATGCTTGCGTCAATAAGTTTCATGTTCGCCTCCTTTTCTTATTTAACTGACGTACTAGCTTACTATTGTTTCTGTTTGAATTTTTAGCATCCATTTGTACCACATTATGGCACCCCAGTTCCATATCCAGCTCTATATCCTGCAGGGGGTGTGTATCCTCACCCTAATATGGCCATGGTAATACCAGTATGCTTTATGCTCATATTTTCTCTTTGTCCCTGTCCCCCGTATTTTCCTATTCAGTGTAGGTGAACTGAATCATGTTACTATTTTTCCTTTAGAAGCTGAAATTAGTTTGATTGGTTGACTCATGTTCTGTAGGCACCAAACACAGTAGCACCAAGCGCGGAGATGGAAGGAAAGGGAGCTAATGGAAAGGATCAGGCCTCTGCAAAGAAGGCAAAGGTAACACCAGTAAGCAAAGTTGCAGAGAGTGGAAAAGCAGCTTCAGGTTCAGGGGACGGCGGCTCCCAAAGGTCACCCCTGAATTACTTTTTAACTCAATTCATGGAATTTTAGTCATGTATCTCTTCATCACCTGTGGCTGATAGAAACAGTACTTATTAACACAGTGGAGACAGTGGCAGCGAGGGCTCATCAGATGGTAGCGATGACCAGCAGGTCTTAATTCATGAGAATTGCTACTCTTTCTGTAATCACGAAATCAGTCTGTGACTGTTTTTCCAAGATCATTTTATAACAAATGATTGTCTTACTATTTTTATCAGGAATATACAGCAAGTAAGAAGGGAAGCAGCTTCAATCAGATGCTGGCAGATGGTATATTTTCCATCTTTACAGTTATCATTTTGTGTGCTGGAATGTGTCATCACTTTTTATTTTTCTCAATAGCCACTGCACAAAACAACAATGGTGCACCAAACCCCCATGGTGCTGTGCCTGTTGCATCTGTTCCGGCAACCAATCTAAATATTGGGATGGACTTATGGAACGCCTCTCCTGCTGCTGCTGCCTTGGGAACTGCAAAAATGAGGTCGAATCCCCCTGGTGGTTCATCGTCAATGCCTGAGCAATGGCTTCAGGTACTTTAATCCTCCTGTACTTGATCATCTCTCATTATCTTGGGCATGCCAAGCAGCATTCTAATCCTTAGAAATGCTTTAGGCAGAAACTTGATGCTTAGTCAGGTTGTTCACCACGCCAATTTATTTCCTGTGCTCTTAAAATATCAAGTATTGTTCTTCTCAGGATGAGCGAGAAATTAAAAGGCAGAAGAGAAAACAATCTAACAGGGAGTCGGCTAGAAGATCAAGATTACGCAAGCAGGTAAAGTTTTCATTCAGTCTCTTGAAGATCATTAGGTTAGATGTCCCCTTGCGTGTAGGTCTAGGGCTGTTAATGAACCAAGCCGCTCATGAATGGCTCGATGTCCGACTCGAGAAAAACTCGTTCGACACTCGATTCGTCTTAATCGAGCTGGCTCGCGAACAAGCTCGTTAACTAAACGAGCCGAACTCGAGCCATACCATGTTCAGCTCGAAAGCTCGTGAACAAGCTCATTTAATGGTTTGGCATAAAAAAAGGATTAAAATTTATGGATTTTATGTATTGAAATTAGGATAAATATTATGTTTTACTTTGATAGACTTTTGCTACAGATTTGAATGTAATTTTGTGCTCAGTTCTAGGTCAATCTTGAGCTATCATGAACATTTTATGAGTTGAGCTCAATTTTGGGCTCGTTTAACTTATTTGACGAGTCGAGCTCGAGTCGAGCTCGAGCTATCATTTTCATAAACGAGCCGAGCTCGAGCTTGCATATTAAAGCTCGTGACGAACACGAGCCGAGCTCGAGCCTGGAAATATATTAACGAGTCGAGCCCGAACTATGGCAAAACTCGGCTCGATTCGGCTCATTAACAGCCCTATCGTGTAGCTCATATTGAAGAGATAGTTCCTCATGACTTCTTCGGTTCACGTAATGAATGCTTCTTGGTTTACCCATCAACTAGGTTATGTCAATCTCGGTAACAGTTGAAACAAATTTCTACCTTTTTTGGCAGGCTGAATGTGAAGAGCTACAACATAGGGTACAAAACCTGACCAATGACAATCACGCTCTTAAAAATGAGTTACTGAGGCTTTCTGAGGAGTGCGAGAAACTGAAATCTGAGAATGATTCCATCAAGGTTCTGTATCCCTGCTCTGCTCTCCTAGTAGTAGTCTCCATGGTGTTTTATTATCTGTCCACCATGCTGCTAACAGACTCCTGATTTCTTTTCCCACTTGTTCCAGAAAAAATTGAAGGACTCGTACGGGCAAGAAGCAGAAGATCAGCTTGAGCAAAACAACCTGACCTCGCGAGGTGATGAAGGGAATAGTTGAGAGATGACATTAGGAGGCTACTTCTGATAGATATATAGAGCTGCCCTACCCAGTTGGTCTACTCGCAGTTACGAAGTATTGACCACCTTATTGAGCCATAGGACAATGATTCTCTTCACTGATCTATACCCTATTTACCCTTAACCCTTTTTAGTTGTAACAGTGTTTTCAACAAATTTTTTTTAACACCCCCTTTATAAGGACTGTAACTGAGCTGGAATCCGTGCTCATGAGACCTATACGACTGCTTTGTTGTGCCATTATTAGTCAAGCAGGTCGTAACAAGGCCGTGTCTGGGGATATTTGTGTTTTACTACGTACAGTAGTCTGGTTAATTTTTCCTCCATTGAACAGAAGGATAGCGATTCTCGAATCAATGTGCGTATATGAACCTTTTTTGTTAAATAGAAAGTCAAATTCATTCCAACAGCTGAAACAAACTTTGTAGCAGAGCTTTAAGATCATAAAATCTCAGAAATGAAGTCAAGAATAATGACCCTCTTGATGTTGCAAACTCAACTTTAACCAAGTGCATCTTCAGCCCTCCTCAGCTTGAGCCGTGGTTGATGATCTAGCTAATGATGGTTGCACGAAATGAAGTTTAGGATATTGACCCCTTCGGCTGGAAGCTAGCAAATGATTCTGCAACTCACTCAGTTAGAAGGTTGAGAGATAAAGTGGCAACTTTCACCTTATGTTATGAATGGGGACTAACATAAAAGCAATACAAGATGTAAAACGTCATGGCTATTTGCCTAGTTGGCGACAAAGAACGGCCAAGAGAAACACGAGCAAAAATCTAATAATCCAAGCTGAACCCAAAGTCGAAACTATATATCTTCCACTCTACTGCAACTGAATCCTATAACTTTTTTACAAGCTCAACACCTAGGCGATAGTAAAGAGGGACGGGGAGGCTTGATCTATGCACAATGTCATTGTCAACTATATTAGCATGATGCGGATATAAATATGGAGGTTTCTATGTGTTCTGACTGAACTCATCATCACCATCACTCCGGTGGCGATGTGCTGTCTCATGGGATTGGGCTACTGTTGCTCCATCTGTTGAGAGACAAGGAAACATCAATACTGGAAGAACTGGGAGCTGCATGTACTGCTGCTACTGCATTAAACAGGTGGAAGTTGGCCTAACCTGTTCCCTTTATCTTCAAAAATACAGACGTGGCGTAGTCAATTTCTGCTTGGTGTGAGCTAATGAGTCTTGCCTGCAGTTCGACAAAACAAGCTGCGCCTGAATTTTGCATCTTCTAAATCTAATGTGAACAAAAGTAAATAAATAGTACGTCCGAGATTTTATATCTCAAACTCGGCGTGAACTCAGATGATTGGACAGATAGACGTTTGAATATGAAGATATAGCAATTAGCACATACCGCTTCCTTATAGGCAGAGTTCATAAGCAGATCTACTCTAGCTTGGTGCTTTAACAGGAATGGGCGCAAGTGGTTTCGGTAAAGTTGTTCTGCTCCCTGAAAAGGAGAAAAAGAAAATCCCACATCGGCATACGCTATATTATGTCCAAGAGAAGACATCAGCCAGCCATTTTATTTTATTATATAAACATAGTGGAATCACATTCATCCAACCTAAACTGTTCATTAACGATGAAAATGTCTGAACTTTTATATCTCTCAAGACTAGATGACGATCTGGTTTCGAATGAATGGCTTATGAAGACTATAGGAATAATAGATTGAGTAGATTACATTGGCTGATGGAAGTTGGAGCCAAACGAGAAATGCAAACTTCATATGATAATACATGGGGACCCTGCACGACACGAAAACGGAAGGATCAATCAGATCAGACATACAACAACGAAAGCTATGATTCTATGAACCTCAATTACTAGAGAATTCAGACCAGTACCAGGAAAGCAACTTGTCTGCAAAAACTTCTGCAAGGCTGAACGATCCGTACGCTGTAATGCAAGCATGAGAAAAGAGTAGTCAAGAGAGATGCCAAAACACAACTCGTGAGGAAAATCCGTAAACCCCCGAGATTTGAATTTCAAAGCAGCAAACCAAAACGGTCAAGGAAATATTTACCGAGACAACCTACTGCAACAAACAACGGAAAGAAGATAAAACAAAGCTAACCTGTCCAGTATATCAGCCACTTCCTTTGCTGGGTTTCATCATTCGCTTCAAGTGCTTGGTATGTAGAGTAAACCGGCAAAACAATCCCAACAGAGCAACTGCAGAAATCACCAAGGCGCCTCCAGCAAGTTAATACTTCATTAACAAATATATAAAAAGATGGATTCTTTAGCGTAGAATTAAGGAACACAAGTAATCAACATCAGGGATTTCGGATAGAGAGCCCACAGCTGAAACTCACCATGCAGCTCGCGTTACAATGTTGGAACCAATTGGGGAAAGCAGCAAACGCAAGCCCACCTGCACCACAATCACAGAACACCATTGTCTCATTCTCAAGACTATGTTTTTGCTCCACTAACCATAGCCTACCAGGAATTGAGCCCTACTAAAAATCGATCGACCTTAGGGATGCCGAATTCATCAAACCCTAACGTGATAACAAAGATGAAGGGGTGGGGAGGGATCGATGAGGGCTACCAACCTCACTCGTTATACTGGGCGCGAGAAGCGCCATTGCTGGTGATCACCGATGAGGTTTCCCGGCTTCAGATAGCAGCTGGCCTCGTAATCAGGCTTTAAGGCGAGCCTTGAATTTTGGATTGGTATTTTTCTGGTTTCTCCTCATTCTCACCCTTTTTGTACGTTCTTCATAGAATTTAAGTTTTTTTTGTTGGTAAAATTCATAGAATTTAAGTTGAGATCGATAACCCTAACTAGTTTCTTTTCCAATTACCCAATCCCCAATGTTTGGCTCTAGACGAATTCTATAGGGGTCGTTTGGATTAGTGTTTTTAATTCGAGTGATTTGAGAGGGATTTGGGATGAAATAACTTATTTTAAAACCCAGGTTTTTAATTCGAGATATTTGTGTGGAATTTTGGCCAAATCACTCGTTTGGCAACTAATATGGAATTTTAAACTGAAAATAGGAAATAACAATTTTCTCCTTATCTGTACGCGGTAAGAGAAAGGAAGAACATCCCTTTCTTCCTCTTTCTAGAGTTTGTCTTCTCCGCAGTTCCTCCCCAAACTCTGCCGCCGAATCGTCGGCCGGCGTTCCTCTGCGGGGCCACAATCATCGTCCGCAGTTCCTCCCCTCACTCTCTACCGCACAAATCGTCAGCAGCCGTTCCTCTGTGGGCCACAAAATCTACATAACAAGGGAGGGAGAAGAGTGAAAATGGCAACCTGTTACACTGCTCGCAAAACCTCTGCTCCAAGCCAACAACAATGACGGTAGGGGTCTTGAAGTGAGTCCCGCAGAATTTATGCCTGGAGTAGTAATGCTTGGCATCGCTCAAATCTAGACTGCACCCTTCAACTTGCCAGCGGCGGTGGGTGGAGAAGTGGAGAGCAGAGGAAGAATTGGGAGGAGAGAAGGAAGAAACAAAGTGGGAGGGTTAATAGAAGGGTAGAGTTGGATTTTCAGAAAAATAGCATGGACATATATGGAATAAAATGGCACAATATTGAGGGATTTCAGAATAGCTGGTGGCCATCAGCTATTTCACAATTCCACAAATGTGGGTTTCTGAAATCCGGAATGTTTAAAATCTCTAATAAAAAAAATGGTTTCCAAACGAGTGATTTTAATTAAAATCCTTCATTGTGAGAGATTGTGCACAAATCCCTCATTGAAAACACTAATCCAAACGGCCCCATAAAGTTTTGAGGAATTTATTTATTTAAAAGGGTTTGGTTAATATTATTTTCTACCTCTTTACTATTTCAAATTAACAAAAGTACTCATTTACAATGCAGTTAAAATTGAGATTTTAACTAAATCGAAAAGTGAGGTAAAATTGGAATCGTAGATCAAAATCGTAAAATCATAAGATTTTAAGGTTCATATTAAAATAAACACTTTAAACCACATACTAATAACAATACATGTCATGAATAACAGTCAACATATGACCTAATTACTTCTCAAGATAAGTTTGTCTGCTAAATAAACACAAATTAATCCATATATTTATTCTTGTACTTAACAAAAACACACAAATAAGCAACATGAAAACTCATAGAAATCACTTATTTGATAGGTAGTTAAGATTAGAAAATCACATAAGATCGTTAGGATCAACATTAGCATCCGTCACACATAATCATCCTCACCCTTACCCTCACTCTCATCCTCGCAGAATCCTTTTATAATTTTCTTGAGGAATTATATCATTATTCTTAGAATCACTTGATCACCATCATCTGGCAAAGGTAACTCACTAATTGATGCATTCCCTACTTGATCGATAAAAGTCAGGGAATAGAGGTGCTGAAGGTTTGGTAGATGAACGAAAGCTTGCATTGTAATGGGCAGTGGGCTAATTGCGATGGTGGTGGGAACAAAATACGAGTTAATTGGGAGGGTGGAGGTATCATTGATGGAAGGAGTTGGGTGTCGGCGTGCGAATGAGGAAGAGAACGAAAATCAATTGAGGGTCTTTTCTCATATTAGGGTTGTGTTGTTGATTGTATTGGGCTGGGAGAAGTGAACTTGACCCGGTTCATGGGTAAAATCCAACCTGATTGGCTTGATTTTGCTCCAATTGACATGAACCTTGAAATCGTACACAATCCTAGAAATTGTTGATTTTAAGGATTTTAGAGTTTTAAATCGGGATTTTATGGGATTTTAAGGTTGAAAGACTTTATAGTAAAATCATGATCATAACCCATAGGTAAGATCGTAAGATTTTAGGATTAAAATCGAGATTTTGACTATATTGCTCATCTGTTAAATTATTTTTTCCCGGTAATTCCTCTATTAATTTTTTCACAAACATACCCTTCTAATATTAAAACATAATGAATATATCATTCCATCTAATTATCTGTTAAATCATCGTTTAATGGGCTGAAAATTTACCTAATTGCCCTCATTAACTCCTATAACTCCTAATTTATATTTTAATTATTTAATATTCCTAAAATCCAATTAATTAAAAATTAAACCTACGAATTACCTAGCAACCTTTCCGTCTTCCTCTCTGCTCCCCGTGGGTTCGAGTTTTGTTGTCATCCCTAACAGGTGCCATCCAGGAAGCGGCTTCTCGCTTCTCACGATGGGAGTCTTGGGAGTAGAAAGGGTTGGACTTGGGAGGGAGTCTGTTGCTTTTAATTTTAATTAATTGGATTTTGTGGACACAATAAAATAACAATTACAACATATATTATGGGTGTTTAGGAGTTAATGAGGGTAATTAGGTCATTTTTCAGTCCATTAAAGCGTCATTTAACAGATAATTAGACGGAAGGGTATGTTTGTATAAAAATATAGTAGAGTGGTATGTTTGTTAATTTGCAATAGTAGAGGGGTATAAATAGCTGTTAACCCAAAAATACATTGTTATTTGTTTGGAACATGGATCTTCAAATGGTTTACTAGTTTATTTTTGAACTTATTTTTTAGCCTTTGTCTTATTGGTTAGATAATAAGTTTGTCTTGCCACTTACGTTTTTTAGAAGATGGATTTTCAATGAATATTGTTTCTACCGGAAATTAATAAGTGTGTAGTTGAAAACTTTAATTTAATTCAAATCTAAACGTATTGCAAATATTTTTTTGGAAATTCAATTTATTTTAATTTCAACTATTTGAATATGACATACCAAACACAGAAATTTGTTTGACAATGAATACATAGTAATTAATTTTAAATTAAAATGAATTGTCACTTTCATTTGGTATCAAACGGTTTGTTAAGTTATTTTCGTGTTTGTGATTAACCAATAAGTTTTCTCATAAATTTATATGTTAGACTAAGCTAACAATAATAATAACATCATAATCATCATCATTCATTACTAAGACTCGAACATATAACCAGTGAGTCTCAAATTAATATCATGTAGAGTGTTAACCAATGAGGCAAACTTTATTTGATGCTATCAACCACAAAAATATTACTACTCATGTCACGAAATGGGGTTAATAAATGAAACAAATCAGAAAGCTGGTTCTAGAGTCGGGGGAGGAAATTCAAGACATTGAAAGGATTGCAGAAGAGGCTGTTAGATTCTATCAGAATCTCTTTGAAACAAAAAAAATGAAGAGGTAACACCTGATGAAGAACTATTAAAGTCTCTATTTGATAAAAGATTGGAGGCTATTGTTGGTGATCAACAGTGTGCAGCAGTGTCTAATGCTGAGGTCAAAGAGGCTATATTGGACATGGAACCAGGCAAAGCCCCTGGTCAAGATGGGTGGACAGTCAATTTCTTTCAAACCAGTTGGGGTGTGGTGGGGAAGGAAGTTATTGAGGCTGTTCAAGACTTCTTCAATCACAACATACTACCAAAAAGTATCAATGCTACCTTTATCACCTTATGCCCTAGATTCCTCTTGCATCTAGAATGACTGAATTTAAGCCTATAGCATGCATAAATGTAATATACAAGATTATAGCAGAAGTCCTACCTTAAAGGCTACAAGAAGTTCTTCATGTATTGATTAGAAGAAACCAATCAGCATCCATAAAGGATCGTAGCATTGTTGGTATCCTAATGGCCCAGGAGATATTTTAAAAAAACTGTAGGAAGCAAATTAACCCCAGATGGACAACCAAGGTCTATCTAATGTTTGACTCAGTACATTGGGAGTTCTTATCTTCACTATTGAAGAAAGAAGATGAACTTCCCTCCCCAATTCATAAACTGGATTTGTCTTCATACTGCTAGTTTCGGCATTAATATCCATGGGAGTCTTTTTGGGGTTTTCTCTGCACAGAAAGGGCTCAGACAAGGTGACCCACTTTCTCCCTATCTTTTCACAATCTTCATGAAAGCTTTGCCTGTGCTTCTTGATAAAGCAACTCTAGAAAAACAATTTTCCTACTGGCCTCAATGCAAAGCCGTGGGTTTAACTCACCTATGCTTTGCTGATGACTTATTAATATTCATTGGAGGACTACAGATGCTTTTAAAGGTGTTAGATACATTTTACTAGATTTCGGCTTCAATGTAACCCCTTGAAGAGTAAAGTGTTCTTTGTAGGGTTGGATGACAATGAAAAGTGATTGGCACTATCAAAATTTGGATTTAAAGAAGTCCAACTGCCTGTTAGATACCTAGGCCTGCCACTCCACTCTGGTGCTTTATAAGGACGTCGAGGGCTTCTAAACTTTCTTATCCAAACCTGTTGCAGTTAGTTGCCTCAGTACTATATGCAATTAATCAGTATTGGATGATAAAAAATATGTTCTGACTTTCTCTGACATGAAGAAGGGAATGGGAGAGCTAAGGTCGTCTAGGAGATCATAGCACTTCGTAAAGATGAGGGGGGGTTGAATGAGGAACTTGCACACATGGAACATAGCATGTGCTTCTAGGAAGCTATGGTTGCTCCTAATGTAGGGAGGATCTTTCTGGGTTGATTGGATCTCAAGATACAGGTTGAAAGGGAGGGTTGTCTGGGAAATCTCTGAATTATGGTGGGCTCTTGGCTTTGGAGGAAGCTACTAAAGATAAGCTCATGGTTCCAATTCAGATTAATAAGGGAAGAGACAAATATTGTAAGCCGAGAAGGAAAAATACTACCAAAATTCTCTGTCAAAGTAATTTGGAAATCCATCAGACCTAAGCAAAGCAAAGTGATATGATACAAATAACTATGGGGAAATATATGATTCCAAGTCATAGATTCTTTGCTTGGATGGTACTTAAAAACAGAATCAAGACTAGGCTGCAACTAAAGACTT